TAAAAAAATAATATAAATAAAAACGCATGTCAGTTTCAGGTCTCAAAGTCATACTTTTCAACCAAGGGATCCAGGCTGTTCTTATCATCCCAGGCTGGGCAGCCTCCCTACCCCAAGGGGGTGGCCTTGGAGGATATGAAGGTGACAGATCCCAGAACAGCAAAGCTAGGGGATCTCACAGAAATCATTTAAACTGGGAATTAGGGGGATGTCTCCACTCCAGCTGTATTTTAGAACTGCTAGAGAATTCCTACTGCAATATTCCATCCTCCCCAATTGAGTCAATGTTATGCCTAGGTATGACTCTCTTATTTAAATGAAGATGCTTCAGTTGACCACCAGAACCATTAGAGGTGGCGTAGCATGATTTTTTTTTTTTTTTGCCTGAGTTCCTGACGTTGCCTGTTCGACCTCTGGGCCTCAGTCTCCTCATCTGTGAAATGGGGATAATAGCCAGGCTCTAACAGAGCACTATTGAAAGGTTAGAGTGGAAAAAGGTGCTTTCAAATGAGTAATAAGGTTGTCTTTTTCCAGCACAGCGAGGACAGGATAGAGAAATAGAACAACGTGTCAATCTCTTCTAGCCCTATTAATACTGTATCTCACTGGACCTAAGATGTCATTGATCCTAAGACATGCTATTATGTGCCACATAGGGAAAAACCTGTGACCTAATACTAAGACTTCCGGTAACTCAGACTGAGCCCATTTTAGAGAGGTTACAATGCAATCGCACAGGCCTTTTTGAATCAAGGAACCATAGTAAATAACATTTACACTGTGAGCAAACTGAAGGCCTTGTGCTTTGTTTGTTTGTTTGTTTTGTTTTTGCTATAGGGTGTGTGTGCTTGTTAAGAGAGACAGAGAGAGAGAAAGTGAGAAGTCCCCCAGAGGAGATGGCCACACTGTAATTCCTTCTCCCTCATTTTCCTCTCAGGATTTGAGGCATGCACGCTTGAAAATCACCCAGCATGATTTTCAAGCCACCAACCTGGGACTCAAACCGTAGTTGGCCATGTGGGAGTCCAACGCCTTAACCAACACACCACCTGCTGGCCCAGCCTTTGGCATATTTAACGGCACTAGGAAGATACAGGGCTAGAAAGAATATGCAGCCAGCAGGCGACATTTAAAGTTTTCTAATAGCGTCGTTGTTAGGCTTTACTTATATAGCAATGTTGGTCATCTGGAATAGAAATTAGGATGGAGAAGTTAAGGCTAATGGGCGTGGGGAGCAGACAGAGACACAGCAGTACAACACAACATCCTGCGAGGCAATCCCACGTGGGAAGATTCCTGGTTCAAGCCCAGAGATCTCTCAGAGCACTCCGGGCACACACATGCCCAGGATCCAGGGCTGGAGGGTGGTTCATGGCATCAAGACCCTGTTGAAGATTCATGTGTCTCTCTCCCTCTTTCTCTGTCTCTCTTACTCATGGAAGAAATAAAATAAATAAATAAACTAACATTTTTTTTTAAAAAAAAGAAGGCAGCTACTAGGTAGCAAAAATAGAAGTTATAAAACTGATACATTAGAGTTTATGCATTTTACTCACAGCTGAGTTGTTCAAACTTTAATTCAGAGCCTAATTAACTCTTATTTTAGATACATTTCAAACATACTTGATTGTCTGCTATTCAAGACCCAAGAAGATTAGAAGCAGCCGATTTTTAAAAAAATAATAGAGAGGGCCAGCCTCACAGGGCAGTGAGTAAGTGCTGTGCAGAGGAAGCTGGGTCCCACAGGGCCTGCCAGGATTTAAGTCCCAGCCCTGGAGCCTTACATGTGGGGACGTGCACCCAGGATCCTGATGGGGCGCGGGGGCAGGCTGGAGGAAAAGGGATTGCAGCATCACCAGACCCCATTGGAGGGTGCTTCCTCTCTCTTCCTTTCCTCCCCACCCATGTGCACACATGTATAATAAAACAATAATAATCATTGGAGAACAGAGGAGACTGACCAGAGAAAACCCGAGTGCAGAATCACTGTCAGCTAGCACAAGCGTAAGTGAGAACCTAACAGCAAAAAGGCAAAAGGAATGACGACAGGCTGATCCTTTCCTTTCTGCTCAGAAAGCGGCTTCCTGAGGTACACCCCGACGTCTAGGCTCCACCAGGTGCGATTCCAGCCCCTGTGCAGAGATTCCTGACACCCCACACTCTCCACCCCAATCCTCACCTGATGGGTCCTCTCAGCCCTGGATTCACAGCCCAGCTAGCCGAGGCAGGAGCTGGCCTTTGGGCACCATCTCCTAGCCCCTCCCATAGCCTGGCATTCGGCAGTGAGGGTGAAGGAACAGCATCTTCTGAAACAGTACGCCCAAGACATAACTGAGCCCTGTTCAGTATGATGAAGCAAGTGCACAGATTTCTTTTTCTCTCCTCCAAAATCCTCAATGAAAGAACAGCGAAGGGGGCCAGGCAGTGGTGTGATGATTAAGGTGGCTGGATTCTACATGGCCAACTGTGTGATTCAATTCCCTGACCCAGCGGTTTGAAAATTATGCCTTGGGACATGCGCATGAGTGGCCGAAATCCCAAAGGAGGGAGAAATGGAGAAGGGATTTCAGTGTGGCCATTCCCGGGGGGGGGTGGGGGGGGTGGGGGCAGGCAGGAGATGCTGCAGTTTTGAAGTGGGAGGGCTGGGCCGACGCAGGAAGAATGGTCAGCAGCGCTGCAGAGGGAGGAAGTGTGCCCGGGTGCCTGCAGACAGGGCCCAGGGGAAGGAAGCGAGCAAGTGAGGCCTGCCAAGCCTGGGAGTAGCTCCAGGCACCAGAGACGTGCCATGCCGTGGGCCAGAGCGCGGGGAGAGAGATTGAAACTCCCTGTGCGTGGAGCAGGGAGGGCCAGAGCCTATGTGAAGATGAAGAAGCCAGATAAGAGCAGCCCCGACGTGGGGTCACAGGCACAGGGACAAGGCTGAGGTCTGTTTTGAGCATGGTACGTGGGGCTCTGCAGGGGCCCGGCCACATCCAGCACTCAGGCCTTGCAGGGGGAGGATGAGGAGTCCTTTTCTGTGCCACCGTTGCGGTGCTTAGGAGGCCCTCTTCTCGGGCTCTAATGCTGTTGCTGCACTGGATTTCTTAACATCTCCACCCTGAAGCTGTTTTGAATGAGGAGATGGAGCCCCCGCGGTGGGGCTGAAGCCTCTGCTCAGGCATGGTCCTCTTCCACTGCCTCCGCCTCTTCCCCGGGATGGGTTCTTGGCTGCCCGCTTCTCAGTGCCCACCCAGTGACCGCTGACACCCCCACTCCTAGCAGAGGACTGGGGTGGGGAGGCAGGTAGACATACAGGTCGCGCACACCACACTGTGGGACAGGGCTCTGGTGCCTGCAGAAGTCTGCACCTGCCCCATGAGTGTCCCCCTCCGCTGGCTGAGAGTGAGATATTGAGCAGCACATAAAAAACACATTCCCAGGTAGAGAGAGCGAGAGAGAAGGGGGAGGGGTTTGCTGCTTTATGAACAAGGGTCTTGCATTTTCATTTTGTGTCGTGCCCCATAAATGATGCAGTCGACTCTGCCTGTCGATACCGCTCTCGGAAGGACCAAATGGAAGAGACCATCGCCCGGTGAGTGGAAGAGACCATCACCCAGTGAGCCTACACGTATGCACATGGAAAGGAGCTCTGAGGAAATGTGAGAAAATGGGAACTAGAGAAAACTGGAACAATACCACAGTAGCTTCAGAAAGGTAAGGAATGAAAATAGAACAGAAGCAATGAAGTAAAGATGGGGTGGACAGGTCCCAGCTCTGCCACCTACTAGATTTGCACCCTGAGCAAATTACTTTGCCTCTGTGCCTCAGTGTCTCCACCAGGAAAATGGGTGTGTTGCAAAGCAGGGCAGAGACAGTGCCTTTTCTCTTGGCACTCTGCCTTTCCCTCTGGGCACCCAGCTAAGCTGGCACTGCCTAGCCTCTCCACAGGCAGGTGGGTCCCTGTGCACGTGTGCTGGGTGGGAATGATGTTCACCACCTTCAAGCTTGGCCCAGGGCCTCCCACAGCAGCCAGACTGGAGGGCAGTGAGGCCCTAGAAGGGGGTTAAATGAGATACGTATATATAAAATATTTGACTCATAGAACGTGGTTGCCTAAAATAAAGGAGAAGCGATTCAAACACGCAGTGTTTTTTTTAAAGGATTTAATCATCTTTCAGTGTCTCTGCTGTCTTGCTCCTCCGACAGGCCTGCAAGGTGGGTAGGTTCTATTCAAATATGGCAGCTCATCCTAGAGAGACCCAGTGACTCAGGCAGGGTCCCAGAGCTCATGGCAGGATGGAGATGGACGCCCAGGCCTCCTGGCCTCCTGGCCTCCAGGCCCAGGTCTCCCTGTTCTCTAGAGGCCCTCCAGGAGCAGAGCAGGGTCCGAGGCTGGTCAGGTCTGGCCAGGCCAGAGGCAGGAGGGGGTAAGAAAGTGGCTGACACGTGCTGAGGCCTTGGAGCCCCACCTGCAGCCTGGGGCAGAGATTCCCGCCGATGCCTTGTCCC